AAGGACGAACGGCAGGTGAATTTTTGAAAAAAAAGAGAACTTCGGGAATCCGGTATGGGCTCATGTCGGAACGAATAACAAACCATAGGTTTAACAGGGCTTTTGCACAAGGATCCCGCAAACACCATAATAGCCGCTCAAGATAACACTCTGAATGACTTGAGCGAAGAATTGAATTGAATTGAACTACCAATAGCGAAGTGAGCAACGCAGAGATGAGCTATTTGTAAAGTACACAAAATTAGGCTTCTTGAACTGGGAGAGACACAAAAAGGGCTCATCATCAGCGTAAGCATACCACTCGTATAGAATAGTGACAGCTGATGGGTCAAATCTGCTTTCATCTGTAGAACTTGTTGAATTGATTGGCTGCCGTGCGGGTGCGAAAAAGTTATAAGCGTTTTCGACAGAACGAGGGACTTACAGCGGGACGAAATTCATTGCATTAGCCGGCATTGTGAGTACGACATTGGAGAGTGACAACGAGAACAACTTTTGACATGTGCGCTAAACAAAGCTCCCGCGTTCGTATCTCTGCACACTGAGAAATTTGTGATGATGAACGTTGGTCGAGGTACGACAATTTCTCACACGCTATGTCTATTGTCAGCATCAGTAGGTTTCCCTCATGCTTAAGAGGAAATGGTCAAAACTTAACCCAGCATTCCAAACAATCTGTATAACTTTAGACTTGTCTTAGAACGCTGATTTTAAATATACATTTTTTATCTGCCAAGCGACATTTGGGAGAAGTTATGAGCGTTCAAATATGAAAAATTTCTCGAGTTTTGACGAGTGTGCTCACTTGAAAGGCAGCCTGATGGCGCGGATTTACAATGGCTATGGTTATTTCAATTACAAGGAAGAAGCACATTCACCAAAAACCTAAATAAGTTTTTGAGACCTATTTCGTGAAACATGGGATACTTGACACTTGACAAATCGCACATTCAAACGCTCATAACTCCGTCCATATAGTCGCTTGGCAGATAAAGCATAAATCTGTGGTCAGCGTTCCAAGACGAGCCCGATGATATACGGCATGTCTGGTATGGTTGGTTTAAGTTCGGACCATTCCCTGTTAGTGATTCATCTTATATATAAAGCTGAATGTCTGTTTGTCTGTATGTCTGTATGTATGTATGTATGTATGTATGTATGTATGTATGTATGTACGTATGTTCCGAATAGAAAATTCCATTTCTGAACCGATCCGGACCAAACTTGGCACACATACACTTCGGGCACCGGCGGGTGTCATAGGCTACCTTTCGTCATCGATCGATATCGATTTTATCGATTTTTATCGATTTTTTTACTGAGTTCACCTACGGGGCTGGGAGTTGGCACAGGGGGGTAATCGAGCATGGGGATTCCGAATACAATATTGGTTTTCAGGATTATCGATTACTTTTATTGATTTTATCGATTTTTTGTAAATTTTGACATGCGAGGCTGGGATTTTGCACAGGGGGGTAATCGAGCATGGGGATTCCGAATACAATATTGGTTTTCAGGATTATCGATTACTTTAATCGATTTTATCGATTTTTTTGCAAAGTTTGAGCTACGGGGCTGGGAGTTCGCACAGGGGGGTAATCGAGCATGGGGATTCCGAATACAATATTGGTAATGGACGATCTTGAAAACTAATATTGTATTCGTAATCTGCATGCTCGATTACCCCCCCCCCCTGTGCAAACTCCCAGCCCCCCAGGTCAAACTTTACAAAAAAAAATCGATAAAATCGATAAAAGTAATGGACGATCCTGAAAACTAATATTGTGTTCGTAATCAGCATGCTCGATTACCCCCCTGTGCAAAATCCCAGCCTCGCATGTCAAAATTTACAAAAAATCGATAAAATCAATAAAAGTAATCGATAATTCTGAAATCTAATATTGTATTCGGAATCCCCATGCTCACTCCCCCCCCCCCCCTGTGCAACTCCTAGCCCTGTAGGTGAACTCTGCAAAAAAAATCGATAAAAATCGGTAAAATCGACATCGATCGATAACGAAAAGTGGACTGTGACACCCGCCGGGGCCCGAAGTGTATGTGTGCCAAGTTTGGTCCGGATACGGCGGAGCCGGGCAAGCCAGCTAGTTTACATATATAATTAAGTGACACAACATGACGAGCACTGGCTGTGGTTGTAGATTTCACGCCTACACTACCCCAGAGAGTTCATGAGCTTAATTATTTGCGGAATTGCTCATATATAACACTGGTGTATTACTCGTCATATCGGTTATCAGATGCATTCGATAAAAAAAAAGTTTAATTGCCTAACTTCGTCTTACAGGCTATGCGCGAAAGTCCCGCGCTGCAGCCATTCAACTCACAGAATAGACGCTTTCGTGCTCACTTATTGTTGAACATTGAAATAAAATACTGCATGAAATAGAACATTGCATGATAAAACAGTGACGACAGCGTCGCTCTATTATCATGCAATGACTACCACGTGGGACAATGTGGCCCACATGAACTCAGATAACCGCCGGGGGCAGGCGGCCATGCGAATTTTGAGCAAGCGCGCACCGGAAAAATAGTTCGCTGATTTTTTGCGGCCCGCTTGCAGAAATTTGGACGAAAGTTGGCGAAATTAAAGACGAATGCTCGAAGAACAGTCGCGGTTTCTTTATGGATTAGCTGCGGCGCAGTGGCCGCATTCTCGCGGACTTTCCGCGAGAATATGCAAAAATTTCGAGGGCCGCACGGTCCTTTGTGGAGGACCGCGCAACCCCCAGGTACTTCCCGCTGAGAGAAAGTACCTCAAACTTGAGTAATTAAACCAACGGTGACACCTCTGCCACATAGAGTCTTACCTGCGCTCGACGTACGCCCGAAAATGCCTAAAAAGAGTCCGAGCGCTTGCTGAAAGTTTGGCCAGCGCTCGCTGAAAGAAATTATTTGCCGAGCGCTTGCAAAAAATGCTGTATTGCTGCCCGCTGGCAGAATATGCGACCGTAAAGGAAGTGCCGCCCGCTGAAGGTTTGGCCACGCCCCAAAATTCTGCTGACCGCCTGCAGAAAAGCGCGACTTTGCGGACCGCCTGCCCCCGGCGATTATCTGAGAAGGATCATGGTTTGAGTTTTGCTAGAATGGCCACTGCTTTGGGATACAGTCGTCTCAAAAATCTCTACGCTCTCATCAAATGATTCAGGGTTTGACTGCTTCTTGGGCTTACTGTAGGTAGACTGCAAATGACAATCTGCATGGTTCTAGCCAAGAATTCTTAGTTTAATCGTAGAAGAGCAGACAACTGAAGTTTTTGTCGTCAACGTGGTATCATCGGCTTCACGATTCGTGTAGAGGCGGGGTTATGCCAACTCAAAGCGTGGCGGTTTTTGATAGCGAGAGAGTACAAAAAACAATGCTATGGCGTGGAGGTTTAACAAGTTTACCTGTGTTATCAGGCAAAGTCTGCAATACACCTCTACACGAATCGTGGAGACGATCATAAAATAGTGACTATTAATCTTTTGCCAGCTGCGCGTTTCTTGCTTAGAAGGACATTCATGACTTCTTTCCGATCGCCAAAAGTAGACTCCCCTACCAGATTGTCATCAACGGTGCGACTTTTTTTGGTAATCGGCCACTTCGATTGGCCCTTTTCTGTAAAATTTGGTGGGAATAACGTGCAAATAAAGTTTTGAAAGGTCGCATTGCAAATTTCCAGTGATCTTATAAAAAATTTCTTATTACTTTAGCGTTTAACTTACTGCAGACATCGGAGTATTATCTTAGGTGCAGACGATCTGCGCTTTGTATGGCAGACGAAGATCGAATACCGTCCATTACTTCCCTTTGATAACCGAGATACGCCACGGTAAGGACAATCAGCTAACGAATGGAAAGATCTTTCTTCTTGTCAAAAGCGTAGAAATTGGCTTTTTGGAAAGGCGCTCAACAATACTTTACACAAATATAATATTAGGTCGTTCCGAAAGTAATTTCGTTTTTCCAACTGAACTCCATTCTTCGTGGAACAAAGATTTCGTAGAACAAAGACAAAGAACAAGGTTCAGGATAAGCCTTTTTCAAAAGTACCAAAGGACAATCAGAAAAATTCTAGTTAAAGCGGCCTTTTCGAATAAGTCCTCCATTACCCTGAAGAGCACTGAGCGCTGATTCCAATCGAATTGAACTAGACCATACCGGCTGCGGCAGAGCGCGGCACGGTCAAAGTCATTTCGAGCGTGCAGTATTTTCTGCGTTTTCTCCTCGTTACTCAAAATTTTTCTTTGTCTCAATGGCGTTTACAACCAAATCGGAGTTTGTTGTTGTTTGCGATGTTTCATACTACCACGCTCTTTCTTTCTCTCTATTTCCAGGTAACCTTGGAAAAACATGCACATGGATAGTTTGACATGAAATTCATTGAAATAACATATCAAAAACATACCAAGAAAAGATTTTACTAGCAAGTTTTCATTTTTAGTCGTTTTCCAAGCATTACCTTGAAATAGAATTGAAGGGACGAGCGTAGCAGCACAAAATATCGTTTAATAACAACAAAATCTTCAATTCTACTTTGGAAAACTTGAGCATCCAAAAAACAACATGAAACGTTGGAATAACAGAAAAGGAAGCTGTCTGAGGTTGAATTAAGGGCTCAAAGTGCCGCGTGCTCTAGTTCAAACTCAAATTCGTCCACAGGTGTCTAGTGAGGGGAAGAGGACTATACTAATTGTAGAAAGCAAACGATCGTTTACGGATTCGAAGCATTAAACTCGAATTTTTTGGGTGAAGCCCGAGGAGCGTTCAAAATGAATTATGATGAATTTATCCCGAAAGGCTTCATGAATCGGAAACAAAAGAGAAAGAGGAGAATACGCTACTTTGAATGACGCACGAGTTGCTCGCCGGCTGATGCTCTAGGAATTTGAGTTGAAGTATGGGAACTGGTAGCATCAAGTAAATTCTTCCCACTCTACAAAAAAATTTGTACTTTGAAAAAAATCGTACCTTCTGAAGGTCATCCCAATCTGATTTTAATTAAGCAAAAAACTTACAACAAAGCGGGAGTGATCCACATCATGGTGTTCGAAAAAGTTCACCATTTCATTGTAATGCGCAGTCAAATGAGTGTAGTAAGGAGGAGGTAGTTCTGTTATCTTAATTTGAAGTAGTGAAATGAGTGTGAACGATTGAAAATTTGGCACATACTTACCGTAGCAAAATGGTCAAGTCGCTGTGTTGAAGTAGTATGCAGGTAAGCTAGATGTCGCATGAGGTCTCTTACAAGCTCCACCTTAACAAGCTTATATAAATCTACATTAACGTGCAGTTAAAATAATTATAGCTGAGTACTGATTCACGGAAACTAATCCTACTCACTTTAACGTTTTCTGCATTTGCCTGGTGCGTCCACAATTTACTCACCCATAATTACTAACAAAATTTTGATGCATTTCATGCAGATATCAAACTTTTCTGGGTTATGAAATAATTTTATATTCGTGTGATATCCAGTTGAACGTATGTGGGAGAAAATATTGAGCACGATGACAACCTTACCAAATCACTTACAAGATACAAAAGGAACCCCTATGCTTTGCTGTTTACTTGTTCAGTGTAATGTGATCGATAGTGTTCGGAGCTTTTATCAATGTAGACTCCTTTTTAGCTATTGCATGTATTCGACTTCGTCATTCTTCTGCACTATTTGTGGGTTCCCTTCTACGTTCCGATCTGCTTTTTGCGTTTTGAATTTCGATTAGGACATTTACTGTTATGTGATGCGCAGTTGGAAAGGCTCATTAGTGAAGTCAACAATCCCTGACTGATAAGGCATTCACATTCCATTACACCGAAGCTAAGTAGTGTAGAAGAACCCCAAACATCGGCGAAGCATATGATTAGGTAAACTGAGAGGAAAAAAGTCCAGAAATGAGGAGCAAGCTTATAGGACGAGAAGGGGCCCTTACATGCCACAGCATTGTTAGAGCTGATACTGATTAAAACCGCACTCGAGTAAATAGAGGACTACATGTTGCCGAAAGAGGTGGCCCTACGCAGACATTTGCTACAGACCACCTAATCTGCATACTACAGGCATTATTGTGTCAGCGCGAGATGGAGCCTATCAGGCGACACATATCCCTCACACATCGCACTCCCTAATGGTGTAGATACGCGACTCAGCACACCATCTTTACGTAATCTGTCTGTCTCTATACGCATCTTATGAATAGAAAATCTTTTTCTGAAGCGATGCGACCAAGCTTGGCACATATAAACTTCGGGTAGGGCGGAAGTCCTAAGCGACTTTCGCTCGCCACTGATCCATATCATTTTATCAATCTTTGCAAAGTTCCAGCAACAAGGTTTGTAATTGGCATGGAGGAGTGTGAGCATGATGATTATGAAAGTGTTGTTGACAGGGCCGCGCGGAGCCGCGTTTTCTAGCTGATAGTGAAAAGAAGTTTGAAAAGGTTTGCACGAAAAAAGAGTAAATCTAGAATTTGAATTTATTCCGCAGTCTTACTGTTTTTGCAGTAGGCTATCTTAGAAAGTCAATTACTTTAGTATCTAAAAAAACCCACCGATAACTGTTTGTAACCGTCATGCTGAATCCCTTTCTCACTCGCATCATCCATAACTATCACACCTGTAATTTCCTTGGTTTGCTTCTTTATGTGATAAATTGTTGGTGCTGCCAGCTGATCGTACTTATGTTTGACTGATTCGATCCATTCATATACGACGCATTCTCTGAAAAAAAAAGCTATTAAAGGACCTTCACTTTAGGTTTTTCAATACTTCTGTCACATTAGCAGTTAGAGAAGGGATTGTCCTATAGTGACCTTATGGCCCCTCAGCCCTGTATCACCCTATGTCAACTAAGCTAGATCCCAAGACGGATTAATTTGTAAGATCAAAGAAACACTAAATTTTTCTGCTCATTTTCGAATAAAAGTGTCGGGTTCTAAACGAGCGGGTCATGGTTCGGATTTTCTAACAACTTTGCTATATCGCCAAAAGTTTTGAAAGCCTCCACTAACCTTGTTCAGCTGATGTGGCGTAGGCCAAAATTGGCTTACGTACGTTTCGGCGTCTCCGCCATTCTTCTGCCCAACCCACTTTTATACGTTCGCTACATTGACATTGACGATTGCTGCCAGTCGCATTGCGATATCAAATGGGTACGCCCCGCCTTCGATGCTTTTATAGTAGGCGCGCAGCATGTACAAAGGACAACGCGGGTAAAATACCTCTCTGCATACCCATTATCACGGATGACCTTAGCAGAGCGACAAGGGCATGTCTGCACCAATCCATTATTCAAGATTACGTTAGGATTGTGGGCATCCCTACCTCCAACTTCAAAATGCAGCTAATATGAAACCGCGCCTATGATAGCATTTACATAACTCCTGATTGCGTGATATGTTCATACGGTAGACCAGGAGATTGCATGAAGGCGGGCGTAGTCTATTTGAGTACATGTCAATCATGTGGTGAAGAATATGCAGGCGAAACAGGTTGAACTTTGTGCATCCGGATCAAGGAGCAGGTCGCTTCCTCTCATCTGCAAGGCTATAAAGTGAGCGATAACCCTATTAGAGTTTTCGTTTGTTTTATGTCTGTTGGCTGTTGAGTTGTACCAATGTGATAACGAAGCATTTGAGAAGATAGATTGTAAATATCTTCGTCGTGGTCAGTCTCTGAAGAAAGCGGAGACGCCGAAGCGTACGTAAGCTAATAAATCTATTTATCAATCTTGGCCCACGCTACATCAGCTGATACAAGATTACACAGCTATGCCAAGATTCATCGATGGCCGGACCTGGGATTTAATGGAATCCATACCAGCTTCCACTAACGAAAAATCACACTGCTATACTGCTATTGCAGCAGTGGTAAGCACTTTGGATAATCTCATTCTTACCGTTCAGATACTGCTCAAAGTTCATGTTTTATCAATGACTGACTTCGCCTTTCAGCAAGTACTAACAACGATACTTAGTGTCTGTGGTTTTTGAGATGAAATGTATACCATTACACTCGTCTTCAAGCGCTGATTGCGAATCTGACTTCCGTATCTGCTAAACATTACTCTGAAAGAAATTATGAGTGATTTTGGCGCCAAGTTTGGCCGCGCGAGGCAAATACGATAGAAGCACCAACCTGGTAACATGATAACACGCATTCATTTTCCTCTCATTCTCAATTTTATGGGACTTTTGGAATAAATGTAGGAAACACTCATATAAAAATGACTCGTCGTTAAATTTCAAGGAGTAAGGGCCTTTACTTCGAGGAAACCTAACCCTAAAAAGCTTAATTAAGGCAGTGCAACACTGAGAAATACGAAAGGGTCTGAACCTGCACCTGCGTCAACTTGTGAGGCTATCGCTTTAGCCACTACACCACACCATCCTTTCATATCCCGGGTGGCCAAATTTGGCGTGAAAATCCTTCATAACTTTTTTCAGAGAAACGATTAGCAGAAAGGAAGTCTTCGGATTCAGCGTTCGAAGGCAAGTGCAATGGTATACATTACATTTCAAAAGGCCACGGACATTGATAATCGTTCTCTTGCAAGTTGTAACATGAGTTTTACACTTATTGTTAGAGGATAAAATTCGTACCTTTTTAAGAAATTTATTTCATTATCAGATTCAGCGCAAGGATTTAGCATTTCAGTATATACATGTTACACCTGGTGTCCCCGTACATTCATGAAAAACCCAAGGGAGTAAAAAAATTAGAGTGAGAGAACAAAGAAAAAGGAAAAAAAGGAAGGTTGAGGTGCCATGACAACTGCGTTCACATTTACCTAATGGCACCGTCCACTCAGATCCTCGTCTTCCATTTCTTGTCGTTCCGGGGCGCTCTCACGTCCCTGGTTCCGGATATCACCTGTATCACCTGCATCCCCGTTGATCGTCACTTGACACGAGCGGGATTCAGTGACGCCTCCATTCGTCCCTGTCGCGAGCGATCGTTGACCAATGTCTTCTCATCGCACCAGGCACACGAGGAACGCTTTGAAGGACTGCTTTAGAAGACTTTATGAACATGTCCAACCATCGATTCGGGGGTCTTCCTGTTCCGCGTTTGACGTCAAGTGGTGTCCAATCTGTTACAGCTCCGGTCCACCGATTGTCGTCAAGACGCATCACATTTCCGCCCCATCTGTTTATTATGTTTGGCGTATGCGGCAGCATCCCTGATTCTCCATCGTTGACGTAGGGTGAAGCTTCGTACTCCTTCCATCACTTGCGCGAGTTGGGACACTCCTAAAATTGCTCTCTCAACAGGTTCGATGACGCTCACCGCATGTTCGTCCTGCTCCATGCTTCCGGAGCTAGTTCGTTCATCATATTGTTTCCGAAGCCTACGTCAAAGCAGACTGAACTGTCGTGTTGAAGAGATGGGCGCGAAGCCGGATGTTCTTGGTCTTCTTCACTACGTCCTCAACTGCCTTATATGCTTCCCATGTTGCACGTTTCCTCCTGCTCAGTTCCGGAGCTAGATCGTTCATCGTGAGTTCACGACCTAGGTAGGTGTAGCTTGAGCATTCGGTGATGTTCGCGTCCCGTTATGCCTGAAAGGAGCATCAGGCACTCTTCCGTCCCTCATAAACATCGTCTTCGTTAGGTTCAGTCGTAGACCGATCTCTCCACTTCGTCAAACTGGGCCAGCATTTGTTCACCTGCGTGATGCTTGGTGTTGTCAATACGATGTGAACAGCAAAGAGAAGGTGGTGTAGTTGCCGGCCGTCGACTTTTACACCCATGTCATCCCACCCTAGTGTCCGCATGACGTTTTCGAGAGCAGCGCTGAAAACTTCCGGCGATATAGTATCACCTTGTCGTACTCCTCTCTTCACGTCGACGGTGATGCTCTTGTAGAATGGTGTGATCTTGGTTGTGAAGTCGTTGTACAGCTCACGAATCATCTTGATGTACTGAGTTGGAATACCTTGACTGCTCAAGACATCGATGACAGCCTTAGTTTCAACCGAATCAAACACGTTTTTCAAGTCGATGAAGGACAGAGCGGCATCCTGTACTTTGCGATGCGATGCTGCGATGCTTCAATAAGCTTTCCTGTGGTGTTATCGCATGTATGTGGTGCATAGTGCTAAATCTTTTCGAAACCCAGCTTGATCACATGGTTGTCTTTCGTCTAGTTCTCTACCGATCCTGTCAAGAAGTACTCATGTGAAGAGTTTGTAGACTGTGGACAATACGCAGATAGGGCGATAATTTCCGATGTCGCGGGGTCTCCCTTCTTGTACAGCAACACGGTATTGCTGGTCTTCCGTTGACTTGGAATCGTGCCCTCCGTCAGGTATCGCGTAAAGAGCCTCGCCAGAATTCTAATAAGAATTGGTGAGATTTTTTTAGGTGTTCCGGTCTGATCCTGTTGGGCCCGGCTGATATACGGCTTTCCATTGACATGATAGCATGTCGAACCTCTGAAGGAAGAACTGCGATGCAACATATCCGTCCTTCTTGAGATGGCATGGTGGTAGGTGGACGTGACCCGCAAAGAAATCTGAGTAAAATTTGTGAATGACTTTCTCCAACCTTCGGGAAGATGTTGTGGTTCCATCAGAGCGGTGGAGTGCGGTCATCTTGGTGTTAAAGTTGACAATGCTTCGACGGTGTTGCGTATACTTCTTTCGGCCTCCGCGGCGTCAACCATAACTTGTGCGCTTCTCTCTTTGGGATCTTCTTTTATCGCTTCTCTGCATTTCTTCGCGAGCTCAGATTTAAGCTGTTAACTGCCTAAGGCTCATGCTCGTTCACGTTAGCGTATTAGCTGTAGAGTCTCCGTTGACAGGCGCTTCCTGGTACTTCTTGGGCTCTCAGCTTCCTTCACAATCGTGGAGATGCTGGATAAATCTTTCATATTTCTCGTCGATGTCACGGTATCTCGCCAAAAGCCGCATATGGAAGAAACAGGTCCCAGTTGATGATAGCAGTGGGACGGTGTTTCCTAAACTTGATGGCTCTCTCTCCATTCCATGAGAAGTAGAACTGGCCCGAAGGAGACGATGGTCCGATCCCGTGTAGAACTTCGAACAACAGCGACGTTCGTCAGGCAGTATCTTCTGTACGATGATGTGGTCAATCTCGTTGTGGTGGTCTCCACCGTGCACCCAGGTCCAGCGTCGGGAAGGGGGCTTTTAAAACTGCGAGTTTTCATGGAAGATCCTTGCCGTCATGATAAACTCGGACAGTCTCTCCCCTTGTTCGTTCCACTGTAGTCCATGGATCCCGATGTGAAGCTCTGCAGGCGACCTTCTTGCTCCAATCTTTGCAATGAAGTCACCGACGATGACCTTGTAGAAAGTGTGCTCTTCTCTGTAGAACTTTTCCAAGTCCATGTAAAAGGCCTCGACTTCGTCTTCGTCGTAGCTTGATATTGGGGCGTACGCTATGAAGACCGTCATGGTTGGGATTGATCGTCATCGTAATATTCGTAAACGTCCGATCCGGGTTGCGAGGTGTTCGAATAAATCGATGCTCATGCCCACTCGTATTGACAAGGACTCCTATACCGCCGACTTCCTTGCTGACTGTCGCATGTTCCTAAGTTCTTTTTCAGTACCAAACGTGGCGTTCGGGTGATGTCTCCTTGTCTCGGTCAGTCCGATGACGTCGTACTTGACCTTCTTTGCTTATCAAGAGATCTTCGACGGATGCGCCTGTCGCGAGCGCCCGTGCGTTGTAAGTACAAATCGTCATCATTGTCCGTCTCGTTTTCGGCAGCCTAGATCGCCACTCAAACCTTGTCCCCACCGGCGATGCCTTACCAGTGGCTCTCCAAGATCAAGGGAGCTTTCCATTATATCACAGTGTTTAACAATTAATTACTCGCAGGAGCAGCTTTTTGGGCTGATCTCCCGCGAGGGACGGTCGGAGCTTATTTGTTGGAGGCGACTCCGAGCCTGCCTTTCACACACCTACCCGGGAATTAGGTATGCAAGCTTTTGATGGAGGCAGGGGGTCCGTCCCGCTCCGCTTGCTTATCAGTGCAGGCCTGGGGTCGCTTTTGGTCAGCGATTAGCCCCCTATCCGCCACCTAGGGACGCCCCACGTAGCCTCG